TTAAGTTAGTTTTGTTTTTTATATCTCGTCTTAAACGTCATATATTTGAGAATTAACGTACATCTTTTGTCTCTTAGTGGTATTTCTTCCTTGATATTTACAAAAGCTGGAGAAGCGCTATATCTTCACTCGAGTTCGGAACTCCAACGAATTTCTCTGTCGACCGCGAAGATGACAAAGGCGCATTGCGCGCTTAATTTACCACCGCATGCCAGATCGTTCACGGTAAATACTAACGAAGTTACGCAAGAACAAGGTGTTGTCGAAGGTGCACCTGAAACCGAAGGGGAGACGCAAGAAAGTCAACCAGCAACGGCGGCAAACAGAATTATTACGGAAAATGGCGTAGTAAGTGCCAGTGAGTATTAGAAATCCATATATTTTGGATTGGCGAATCTCAAGCAGTGGTCAGATTTAATTACAACTTTCGGCCCAATTTTTAGCTGCTTCTGAAGCAAAGTGTCGAAAAGTCTTAATTACTACTCATTCGATAAACTCATTAAAATGCGAATGGGGGAAGGAAGGATAGTGCAATGAAATCGGATTGAAAATAGTAACGAAACCCGACCACTGATCTAAAGAGATAGATATATTTTTTTACACATCGTAATAGAATCCATCGGCTTGTGTGTAAACGCGATTGTGTATATGTGTAACCGCTTGGCATATCTTGTATAACCCGCATATACATGTGTGCTTACCCACGTGTTTTGATCCTAATCACAATTACCATTTATGTCAGATCATTATTACTATTTATGTCGATTAACGACATAGTAGGGAATGTTGTTATTTGTAATAGTGCCGTTTAGTGTCGATGTGAACGCATGTCTTTTAGCTGGAGAGGAAGAATCTCCAAAGGAACCGTCGCTGCGACCAGCTACAAGTAGTATAGATGTAAACGGAGAAGACGACCGTCAGGATTTAAGTTCTATCGGAGATATTACGATCGACAGTGTTAAAGATCATTTGCTGTAAGTTCAGTTGACATTATCAAATATTTTTCTAATTTGTTATTTGCTTATGTACAATAAATTTTATTTCAATTGTAAGTTTAGTGAATTGTAATTTTAAATTAATATTACTTCATGTACATAAATGTTTAATTTATAAAACGTATTATTGAACACACTACATGGCTTGATAATTTGTTTCGCCGCTATTTAATTAATACTAGCATTTCGATGTACTTGCCATTTTTTGGCAGTAACAGTCCACTTTTCAGAAACGCGACATCTTCCGAAGATCTCCATAATCGTTTGGCAGGACTTAAGATGGAGGTGACTTCACGAACTTCCGAGATATCTACTCAAAATCAGTCCCTAGTGGTGAAAACAACCACTGTGGTTACACAAACCACGAATAGCACGACCGCTAATGGCGAAGTCGAGACGAGTCAAGCGAACGAAACGCAACACGTAAACAGTGAGTGAAATCGCAATCGATCTAGATCTCTAAAGTGATTATTATTCTATTTAGATCTGATCATCGGACTGCCAGATTGACAATTTCAAAGAGATTAATCTTTAAGTATTTTTTGTAATATAGCTTCTTACATACGGTTTAATGCATGAGAGATTTTTTTTATATCAACGTATTTTATCTTTTATATCAACTCATTTTTCAGGATCACTAATTGACAGACTCGACGTATTACAATTCACACTTCAGGTAGCACATGATGGTTCATATATGTTTTTATATATGTTTCTTAAACGTATATCTAAAATGTTATAACCATTTAGGAAACGCACAGAAGACCAACAGTGCTACTTGAAACATTACATACAATTAATCTTTTGTCTTTGTCTTTCAATAATTTTCATTTTATTTCTTCTGCCTTTACTTTATTTGCATTCATTTTTTTTCATTATTTTTTGTTTGTGGCACTTATTGCGTAGGCACTACAGTAGAGCGAGAGATACGCAGCGGTATTGAGACAACAACGACACACGCTACCATCACTCTGCCCCCGAACGTCGAGGTCAGCAAACGGCACTGAATATAAAATTATAATTAATTGGTGTCGGCCGTTACCACGATAATAATCTTATGTTTATGCTTTAGTACCTTGTCGTTCGCCATTAGCCAATTGATCTTTTGCTACTAAGTGCATCAGCTTTTCATTCATTTATTTTTATTAATTAATTCCTCGCTCTTCCCTTCATGCGATATTCATTAACAAACAACAGACAACATTAACATAAATGTAATATAAAGCTTTGAATTACTAACTAGGAAGATTTTACTATTTTCTATTCAAGAAACATCTCTATTGAGCGATAAATAATTGTTTAAATATTCCAGATTAATGCCGCGGATTTGGCCAATTTGGAAGTCACCACGACTACAGTGACTACTACTACAGAAAGATCGAAGGCGCCGTTGGCTAGGCCAGAAGAAGTCGGTTCGTAGGCCTGTTCCATATCGTTTTTCCATGCTGATCATGCATCGATTTCGTGCTCCATTTACAAGAGCCATCAATAATTAGTTACTTTTACTGAATAAACGTGTACACAGCGGCGATATAGATAGGATTTATATATCATAGATTTTTTTAAGAAATTTAGATTTCTATGCAACACAGCGATGATCACTTGCGCCGTGCGAGCGACGAGTGATCAATTTTTAATACGAATTTTACGCATTTTCATTGACATTTATATCATTGTATTCCACTCGAAAGTGTTCCAAATGAATAGCTTTTGGAATTGATGGGAATCAATGATTTTTAACGAAAATAGGCCTAGAAAATATTTTATTTATGATATAAGAAATACAAATCCTCATTAGGCTTTTTTTTTAAATAAAAATTTTTTAATTTTTATTATTGAATGAGAAGATAGTTTTATGAAAGAATATCGTATCAAAAAATAATTTTAGAATAAATTTAAACGATTTTTATCACGAGGATTAACCTATCGTTTTGCATGGCTAATTTTAACTTGTTAATTTAATAATGAACCCTGGTGCATGTTATATAATCAGTATAATCGTAGAATTTTAAAAAGGATTATAGTTTACTGAGAGATAGGGAGAATGATGAAATACATCACAAACCATGAATTGTGGCAGCCTTAAATCTACTGTTATTTTATATTTTTTTAATTATTGAAGACATGCGACACATCCGCAGTATCCGCAGTATTTGAAACGTTTTAAGCGTCTTGTTATAGTTTTTCGCAAAAGTATAGTGCGATAGAGATGCTTTGAACATCAAAAAAATGTAGCTACTTAAGTAGAGTTATATATTTGACGAACAAGCGAGGAGATTAAACATGGCTTTAATCGAAGGGTAAAACCTGGCCATGATGCGAGAACGCGTTGAAAAGTATATTTTTTATCAATGTTGCTTAATCGTTAAGTTTCCTCTCTCTTCGCGTTACCGAAGAGTGTGTCACCGTACGTTCGAGGGATTCCTCGAATATTCGGGAACGCTTAACGTACTACATAATATTGACATAGTTACTTTATTGTTGCATTTATCCGCAGTCTTTTTCTAGAATGAAATAGTCGCATGAATAGTCTTTAAT